ATTTGATCTTGGATGTAGTAAACGAGGTACGAAGAACGGGCCCCAGGTTAGAGTCATTTGCATCTCCAGTCTAGTTAGTTTAAGTTGTTGTTCATGTATCGCCAAGTGTGTCTCACCAGCAAATAAGGCTGCCGTTTAAGTTAATGTTTTGTCTCAGAGTCCTGCACGTGGGTCCAGCCACTGACAGCCACACAACTCATCGTGACACATACTATATTTCATAGCACACCATATCAAATACTAGTGTGATGGCCAAATGAAGCTTTTATTGAAAAACGGTTCATTATGCGAAGCTTTTCAACACAATCCTCTCTGGTGACATCTGGTGGCCAAAAATATGAAGAGCAGCTTGAATCCACAAAATAAAACCAACTGCTTCATTATGACTGCTCACTCTACAGAGTGGAACTCTGTCTGTTATTGGGCCGCCGTTGTGTTGCTTTGAACGTGTATTTTTTTTGGTGGTTTAAAAAAAAAAAAAAAAAAAGGTTTATTTGTTTAATAAATAATTTTGACCACTAAACTCTCCTTGTTTTAAAACATGCACCATGGTGTGGTCTTTCTTTGCATGTGACTTCTTGATGTTGGTAAATACAATAATTGAAAAAATACCACATTACATATGATAATGTACAACACATTATGGAGTATGCTTCTGATGTGAGTTCCCGCCTCCTTGTACTTATGCAATCAACCGCTAGACGGATATATTTATAAATAATATCATATTAGGGAAATTTTCCCAGAAATATTTTTGACCTGGGGGTAGAATTGATTGTGAAATGGAAAGGGAAAATGCTTATGAACTTGCAAATGAAAAACATGATGCATTTAAAGTAGCCCTTTGTCATTTTTATTTAAGAGAATTTGTTCTAGTGTGCGATGGCCAAACCTGATCCTTTTCGTGGAGATAATTTCTCCTGCCTTAAGAAAAATCCCATCACATGGAACAGAGGAGGCTGGAGTGCAGAGAAATTGGTAGAGATGCAGTTATACAGTCTACCTGGGCCCCACAAACTATCAGCTAAAGATAATAAATAAATTCAATTGCTGCACATTTGGCAGACTGACATTTTAGGATTAATTAAACAATAAAATATATATTTTTACAACATTACATGTAAAGAGTCAAGTGGAAGTTTTTCTAATGTTATTTAATGATATTTATATTATGGAAACAGATTTTTAACATTTTACCTTTTTCCCCATTTTCAAATATAATAAACACGTACAAAACAAAAGAAAACAGCCAGAACACAAAGCTGGAAAACCCACCCATCCATCCATCCATTCGCTTCCGCTTATCCTTTTCAGGGTCGCGCTGGAGCCTATCCCAGCTGTCATAGGGCGAGAGGCGGGG